TTTCGAGATTTTGTGGATATCTTGGCTAACTACGATTATATGGCAATTTTTCGAAAATTGTCGTTATTCTCCATTTTAGTCCAAAAAATGAGCAATAGTTGATTCTTTGACTCTTATGTCTAATTTTGGGAATACGATATTGTGCACTTAGCTACATACTACAGGGTGTTAAAAAAAAGAGATGTTTTTTTCCAAAATTCCAAATCCCCATTCACAGGGCAGTTGAGCTTGATAGTCGTAATACCCCTCCCTAATAACAGTTAGGTAATCCCTCGGGACGTTTTCGAGATTTTGGAGATATCTTGGCCAACTACGATTATACGGCAATTTTTTGAAAATTGTCGTTATTCTCCATTTTAGTCCAAATAATGAGCAATAGTTGATTCTTTGACCCTTATGTCTAAGTTTGGGAATACAATATTGTGCACATAGCATGCTACTACAGGGTGTTAATAAAAGGGATGTTTTTTCCAAAATTCCAAATCCCCATTCACAGGGCAGTTAAGCTTGATAGTCCTAATACCCCTCCCTAATAACAGTTAGATAATCTCTCGGAACATTTTCGAAATTTTGTGGATATCTTGGCTAACTACGATTATATGGCAATTTTTCGAAAATTCACGTTATTCTTCTCTTGTCACAAAAATGAGCAAACTACGGAAGGTATCTATTCCCTTGCGGCCTTGAGTTTACGGTGAATTCACCGTTTGCGTGAATTGACCGTGAATACACCATTTATGTGCAGTGAATATACCGTCCATTTGTGACATTTGTAGACGGTAATTAAACGGTGAACTCACGCTGTTTTTGCGATAAATTCACGGTGATTTTACGGTTAATTCACGGTGATTTCACGGTAAATTCAGTAAGATTTGAATGGGAGGCTATTCCCCAAGCATTTATTGCAGACTTGGTCAATAGTATGCCAAGTAGGGTAGCGGATGTTATACGTGTCTGCGGTGGGCCAACAAAATATTAAAATTGTTGATTCGCGTAAATGAATGTTTTTCTTTATTTACGCACTTATTGTCGTTGGTTCATGAGATTAAAACCTATCTATTCTGCATTTTAATAATTTTGTAAGTGAAGATTATAAAATTTGTTGATTTATTTATTTTAGTTGTTTTTTTAATTTTGTTTATTGTTTAATTTCACTTTGCATACCTTACATCCGTCATTTTATTTTTTTAATGTGTTTGGCTGTTTGAAAAATATTTTCATATTCGACGAAAAAAATGACAACAATAATTGAAGCAATGAAAGTCAAAACCAGATATGCACCATATTTTTTAAACTTTTATGGTCAACCGTTTGTAGAAAATTACATGAATATAGCCTGCATACGTTTACGAGAATAATGCTGTTTGGTTTGCGTTTTTATTTTGAATTTCACCAAAAAAAATTGCTTTCGTGTAAAAAATTTCAGATTTAATGAATCACGCAACGTACATAAACTGAAAGCACGTTACCTACCTTAAAACTCTGTGTTGATAACTAATAGATACCTTCCGTAGTTTCCTCATTTTTGTGACTTAAGAGGAGAATAACGTGAATTTTCGAAAAATTGCCATATAATCGTAGTTAGCCAAGATATCCACAAAATTTTGAAAACGTTCCGAGGGATTATCTAACTGTTATTAGGGAGGGGTATTAGGACTATCAAGCTTAACTGCCCTGTGGATGGGGATTTGGAATGTTGGAAAAAACATCCCTTTTATTAACTCCCTGTAGTAGCATGCTATGTGCACAATATTGTATTCCCAAACTTAGACATAAGGGTCAAATAATCATTTATTGCTCATTATTTGGACTAAAATGGAGAATAACGACAATTTTCAAAAAATTGCCATATAATCGTAGTTAGCCAAGATATCCCCAAAATCTCGAAAACGTCCCGAGGGATTACCTAACTGTTATTAGGGAGGGGTATTACGACTATCAAGCTCAACTGCCCTGTAAATGGGGATTTGGAATTTTGAAAAAAAAACATCTCTTTTTTTTAACACCCTGTAGTATGTAGCTAAGTGCACAATATCGTATTCCCAAAATTAGACATAAGAGTCAAAGAATCAACTATTGCTCATTTTTTGGACTAAAATGGAGAATAACGACAATTTTAGAAAAATTGCCATATAATCGTAGTTAGCCAAGATATCCCCAAAATCTCGAAAACGTCCCGAGGGATTACCTAACTGTTACTAGGGAGGGGTATTACGACTATCAAGCACAAATGCCCTGTGAATGGGGATTTGGAATTTTGGAAAAAAACATCTCTTTTTTTAACACCCTGTAGTATAATGTCATGTACACAATATCGTATTCCCAAAATTAGACGTAAGTCAAAGAATCCACTATTGCTCATTTTTTGGACTAAACTGGGGAATAAGGACAATTTTCAAAAAATTGGCATATAATCGTAGTTAGCCAAGATATCCACAAAATCTCGAAAACGTTCCGAGGGATTACCCAACTTATATCAGGGAGGGGTATTACGACTATCAAAGTCGACTGCCCTATGAATGGGAATAACTTGAAATTTCGAAAAAAATGCATCTCTTCGTTTAACACCCTGTAGTATAATGCTATGTGCAAAATATCGTATTCTCAAAATTAGACATAAGAGTCAAAGAATCAGCTATTTAGAATTTTCAAAGATTTTCAAAATCGATTCAGTAATTTTCCAATAACGAGCTTTCAAATATTTTCCAAAAAACTAGGTGCGTCGTTTTTTATGACGAGCAGTTTAGTACGTAATTTTTCCTTTAATTTCGGTTCAAACATTTGTCTACTTTTAGTGGAAATACGAAGGGCAGAAGCAATACCGACAACAGCATTATTCGAAAGCCCGAATTCCGTTCCAATTGTTAAAACATCTTCCGCAACAATTGGCTTAGGTGAAGTTTTAGCATCAACATTGAAGGCTACTTTCAGCGCTTTCCCGCATCTTCGAGACAAACTAACTTCAGCACCCGGTTTTTGAAGATTTATATTTGCATCTCTAGTAATATTTTTCATTAAATCGATTACTAAATGCTCTTGGGCTTTTGGAGCAAGCGCCGACATAACATGCTCCACCAAATTTTCATATTTCTGAGCAACACAAAAATGCGGTTTTCCTTTTCGCAACAAGGTCTTGCATTTTGGACACTTACGAGAACTTTTTTTTAAAACTCTTACCCTATTCTTCGCAAAGTTTTCATGTCCTGAAGTTCTTACAAGTTCACACAATTTACACTTGCAAATTGTTTTATCTTGAGCTCTGCTGTTCTTAGGTAAAACTAGAAATTCAGAATAATCGGGTAACTTAATATTAGATTTTTTACTTTTGTTTGCTCGATAAACTAGTATTGCGCAAGCAAGGTAAGCTTTGGTAAACGATCGTCTTCAGGATTGTACAAAACAATTTTTTCAACCGCATTTTTCATGGCCCCTTCAACCTTCCTCTACTTAATTTCTTGTTCAAACAAAACAAGCATATCTTTTTCCGGTTTTCGTCATGAGTCCCAGCATGATCTTTCTTTGAAACCATTTTTTTTTAAATAATTCAACACAAACATAAAACTAGTGACGAATGTTAATTATTACAACTATCATAAAAGTCTTATACATATACAACTACACGTCAATTATCGTTTGACACACTATAAATCAATAATTGCATTGTACCATGGTAATTTATAAAAAAAACGTCAGGTTTTATTTGAATCTGACAGTTCGTAAAATGTCATGTTTTTGCAAGAAGCAGTTGAAAATAAATTATTTGCTCTGAACTAACAGAATCAATGCAATCAATTAAAGAAAATGTTATTCTTTGTTTTAATTAGTTTATTCGTGTATACATGTAAATATCTACCCAAATTATACTCGTGCATCAACATCATCAGATTATTTTGCATTTTAAAAACTGCCATCGGTCATTTTCATACTTTGAGAAAAAAGCCTTTCGGTGTCGGGCTCTTTCCAAAATATGAAATTGAAATTTTTTACTCAATATGCTTTCAGGCAAAATTATTAATAATTTTAGTGCACTTTTTTAATTAGGTACCCCCCATAAGTGCCTAACCATTTCTTTTTATTTAAAAAAACAAAATTTTTTGTAAATTTTCTTGGAATTACAAAAACTTCTGTTTTTAACTTTAAAATTGGGTTTTCTCAAAAACGGCTCGGGGAAAAAGTCTGAAATATTGGATTTCGACTCGTTTTAATACACAGATTCTAAATCTGCAAAAAGAATTTTTGTGCAAATTTTCGTCATTTAAACATGCTTCAGCCCCACCGTGCAATGCAAGAAACGTAAACTTTCTGCCGTGAAATCGGGGACGAAACAACGTATTTTGAGTCGAGGTAGTAAGAAAAAGGAACTTTTTGGTGTTGTCTGCTGAAGTAGACAGGTCGTAGCAGGGTTGCCAACTCGACCAACTTTTCAGTAGATCTACCAACTCTTGTCTTAAGCAATTGCTCAAATCTACTACTTTGCAAGAAAAATCTACCAACTTTTAAAGTTTTTAATTTTATTAAATTAAATCTTCCTAAAAGTGGTAATAACACTGTATGGATGTAAAAATATCACAGGTAAGCGCTCGGACACGTAAATTTGGTTTTTTTTAATTTGAAACTAATATATTATATATATGTGGGTCCAGCCAAATTAATTTAAAAAAAATAAATTTAAATTTATACAGGGTGTTTCCAATATCTTTGAGTTTTGACCTGATAAAGCTAAATGGATTTGTAATCTACGACCAAAAATTATGTTTACGTGTCCGAGCGTTTAGCTGTGATATTTCAAGAGTTGATTATTTACCTACAGTGTTATTGATGAAACATACCCGTAATAAGTGTAAAATACGAAATACGGAATTATACGGATTTTTTTCCTTAATCCCCCCACTACTAGGTCAAATACGGATATTCTGGCGTCACCTACTCACATACTTGTGTAGAAGTATCATACTTCAAGTATGTGCACCTACTGTATGTCATGAACACAATGAAAAATGAGGTTAGATCGTTGTATTTTTATTTTTATTATTTAATATTACATTTGCTGTTTACAAGTTTTCTTGAACAGATTTCAAAAACAATTCTTTGTTTGGTTTGAGCACGCTGTTAAATACGGTTTCGATCAAGGGGCTCAAAATTCCGGAAATAACTTTTTGGTTGTTGTTGATAAAGGGGGCTACGTTATCGGTGAGCATACCACTGACAACATCACTAAAGTCTTCGTTGTAAATCAAACCATGAAGATCAAACTAAAAATAAAATAGGTACCTTTGTTAAAATATTATGGTTATTTACAGGGTAAACATTTTATATTCTCATTAAGATTAATACGCTAAAGAAGCATCGGGTTTTTGCAACGCGCGCGCCATCTGGTGGATTTCGATAGCATTGTGTGAATTTAAGAATTGTCAACAATATATTTAATCATACGAATTGTACATCATTTTTAAATAAATAGGTATTTTTTTTTTAATAGGGGAAGGCAGAAGTCTTACTCGACAAATTTTGTTCAATTGCACAGCTGAATCGCGCACGTTATTTGTATTTTACATTTTAAGAAAAAACTACAAAACTTTGGTTTAGTACTACCTACGTAGGTACTCGATTAATTTATTCCTTATATCATTTATAAAGAAACTCAAGGCTTATATGCTTATATAGTTACGTTAGTGTGGGTATTGGTGATCAGGGTGAGTTATTGTGTTTTTAATTGTAAATAAAATTAAAGAACTAAATCATTGCATATTCATGTTTGGCCAAAGGATGCAATTCGGTAAGTACATTTGTTGGTGCAGAATTAACTAATGATAACTTTACCTAATATAATTTATATTTAAGTTTGGACATTTTTAAGAAATTAAAGTTAAAAATAGTTGTTGCACAAACATAACCTTAAAATCCACCATTTTTATATTTGAGTTCTCTAAAAACGCCGACAACTGCATTTTAAACAACAAAATATGCCTACAAATTCATGGCAACATAATATTATATACCTATAATACATAATATAATGCACAATCCATTGTGATATAATGGTATTTTACCGTTGAGTGGAGGCTTTCCTAATTTTAATAATGCTAAATGCTGTTTAAATTTAGACGACTTATTTGTTTGTGTGTATTTATTGTATTTAATAGATACAATTTATATTTACAGGGACTGTATGAAATTTATTTCTTCATTCGGATTAACACTGTTTATTGGAAAACCGGTAAAAACTCAACCCAGGATTTCCTCTCGAAATACACCCAACAACACAACAAATCGTTCCACGTTTTTTTTTCCGATATTTTTTAACATTTTCCGGCTTTATTCTCAAAAAAACTCGTTTGTAACACACGCGTTTGACAGCTGATTATCTAAAGTTGTACTTTTGTTACGATGATAACGGCCGAGTAGTGGCGCTACTAGCGATGCTTCTTTAGCGTATAGGGATAACAATATTAAAAAATATGACATTTGTCAACTTTAATTAATAAGACCTGTGTGCAAGTTGTATTTATATTTATTGTAATTTACTTACGGTTGCGCCTCCCATACTTAAAATCACAGATATATCCTTAAGGGAAATTCCACCGGTCATGTTAACTCCTCCAGCAATTTGAAGAGATGTCTTTTCCAAGTTAATGCTAAAACATAAAAAATATATACATTTTTTTGGTTTTAAAGGAATAATTTGGTTATTTTAACAACCTTTAGAAAGGTTAAGTGCTTATTAATTGTTTATTATTATTATTAGGGTAGTTATAAAAAAATGTTATTTTTGTGAATATTTCAATTATTTTTCTGTTTTCACCATTTTAATCAAAAGACAAAATGGCAACAATTTGCTAATTTAACCGACTTTGTAGCGATACAACGTAGTTTATATTATAACGACCACAACGAATTTAAAGCCAATGTATTTTTTTATTTAACATGACAGCTGTCAAGCATTTTTAATCTCACTTTATTCCAATTTTAACTTAAAGCCAACTTCAGCCCGTGGGCGAAGTAGAATTTTGCCGATAGTAAAAATAAATGTTTACTTAATTTTTCCATCGCCGTACAATGGAAGTAAGTCAGCCAATGTGACGTCGGCTCCATAGTTCATGTTAATATTGACCATTGGCAAGTCCATAGTCATGTTGAGGTGCATATTAAGAACATTAACTTTGATGTAAGAAGCAACCAACTTGTTGATACCAACCAAGCTGAGGCTTGAAATATTAGCACTCCCACTAAAAAATACAAGAAAAAATTTGTCAAATATATTTATATATTTTATATATAATTTTATATATACATTTTATAAAAATTAAAAAAAAATGTGTTTTACTTACACGATGAGTCCTGATTCAGGGAAGTTAATATCCAAATCCTTCATAGTGATTAGTTCGGGGAGTTTCTCGATGATTTTGTTTAATGTGGAGTTTATTATTTTATCGAAAATTCCTGTCAAATGAACATCGCGTTCTCCTTAAAAAAATACATTTGTAACTAGATTTTATTTATTAAATTTGTTCATTTATATTATATGGATATGAATCCCAATTTATATTGCAAAAATCAAAATAATTGTTCAACTTACTTTCTAGGGAGTTGCAGCTAGCAACTCCGAAAATTAAAGCGGCAACAAGCACAGAACTAATAACCTTCATTTTGTCAAAGTAGTTACAATAGAAGAAATAATTTCAACAAGGCAAAAAATCTCAATTTATATCGAAAATAAAACTTCAAAAAATCACTTATCAGTAACATGATGGATTTTGAAAACAATTTTAATTACAATTATAGCTTATCTTAAATTTCAAGGGTTTTATTTGTTGCGATGAAAAAAATTGTTTAAAATATAGCATAAAATAGTTTTTTAAATTTTTGTATAGATAACTGATTTAATCTTAAGATTTTCAAGTTTATAAATTATATACTTATAAGACAACATTTTAGTGAACATTGTCTTTTTAAATACTAACTGGCCTTTAAAAGTGTACTTATAAGATTTTGGCTTGAGGAAAAATTGGGAATGATTTTTAGCTGTGATAATTAGTAATTTTTGACTAATTAATTTTTAGAGAGTAAGGCGCATATTTTTCAATAACAGTGGCGGCTGGTGGATTTTGGGTATACCAATATCTCAATTATTAGATATGGGACCCACACCAAATTTATATGAGTTTATAATGACATTAAATAAACAAGTTCTGCACAAGCAGAATTTAAATTGAAGTTTGCAAAAAAATATAACTTTTCGCTCGGCCGTACCGGCTCAATGGGGCCCCCAATAAATTGCTCCAATTAAATTTATATTAAGTAGTCTTTTTTCGCTTGCGCAGAACTTGTTTATTTAATGTCATTATAAACTCATATAAATTTGGTGTGGGTCCCATATCTAACAACTGAGATATCCGTATAGCCAAAATCCACCAGCCGCCACTGTTTAATAATATGACTATTGAAAATGACCATCATGGCATGCAGAGTCTGTATTTTATATAAAACATGGCGAGATCTAGATTAAAACTGATTGAAAGTTTATGGAACATTTTAAATCTTACAAGACTTAAAACAGCGTTTTATTTACCACTTTAAGTACCATTAATGGTAATATTACTCCCGCAAACGTCTATATATTTACTCTTCATTTTAAAATTGAGTTGCTTTAATATGTTCGAACTCATGGCCATATTGATTTAAAGTGGTATGGCGCGCGAATGAAATCCTAGCCATACAAATTGTGCCATTATTTTAAATTTTTTAAAATTTAAAATTTTCTTTTACGTATAAAGTAAATGCACGAACTGCACTGGTTCACTAAATTCGCTTATTTAGAAGATGGCTTTATCCGAAGGTGGATGGGGTAGAATTAGTTTTAATAAAGTGCACTGACCATGGTCAAAAATCGAACATTCATTTCTTTTAACCAAATTTACTAAATTTAAACCTTTGAGGTACTATTTTGAGTTGCCATCTTTTGTTTTTATAATGGCTGACATAACTAATGTAGGTACTATCCCCTATAATATTATCAAAACCCCTTAAATCCGTTTTGATGAAAAATGAGAACCATGCATTAAAAAAATACTGCCTATCAATTTGTGCATTGAAATGGTTGAAAAAGCCACGAAATGTATATATTCATTTTTTTTATAAATATTTGATGGCTTTTGCAACCATTTCTATGCACACGTTGATAGGTAGGAACATTTTAATCCATTTATCTCATTTTTATCAAAACGTATTTAAGGGGTTTTGATACTAGAGGATTCATATCAGTGGCGGACTAAGGGGGCGGCGGGGGCGATCCGCCCCGGGCCCCCGGTCCAGAAGGGCCCCTAAATCTTAAGTAGTCATTCTCAGTCCAACAAAAAACTATCTAAAATTTTTAGGGTTTTAAAATTTCCGGAGAAAGTGAGCCGGCGGAAAAAAACGGTTTTTTTTTCGGCCAAAAAATTGGGAAATTTTCTGAAAAATTTACTTGCATTTTTCTCATTTTATTCAAAGAGTAATAGGAAAAAGTCAATTACTGATATCGAGAAAAAAGTGAATTGCCAACGCTGAATATAATAATAATTATTATTATAATATTTTCTTAAATCAATTTAATTCAATAAACAGTTGTTGATTGCTACTTTTTTCAAATGTATATATTTAAAAAAAAAAAATCAATTTTTCCCAAAAAGGACATTTTTTAAGGCCTGTTTTTTTCACAATTTTTTAGTTCTTTTCGACACTTTAAAACCCTAGTGTAGGTATAAATATTTTAGGACCCAGCTTTATAATAAAATATAAAATGATTAAAAAAATACCCCGCAGATTTCAAGTTTATAAAGAATAACATGCTAAGAAAAAAAAACAAAATATAAAGTCAAAACTAAAAAATATTTTTAATATTTTGGTCTCGGGAGCCCCTAGCTGCAATTCATTATTATTATTATTATTCATATCCCTGAGTACATTAAGAGTGTTGCAAAGATGATCTACAATCTGACAAATTTAAAATAACAAAACATTAATATTTACAAAACAATCACATTATTTCATAAGCAGACCGCCCCGGGTGCCCGACGGATTTAGTCCGCCACTGATTCATATGTAGTATAGTTTGATAAATTGTTCAGTTTCTTGATTTTTTTTCCTAATCCCAATATGGCGGCTCTGCGTTCACATTGTATGTAAATATTATTAAAAGCCAATGTATTTTCGCTTAAACATGTAAAATTACACTTATAATCTAGGCTAACAAAAAAACATTATTGTCGGTGTGGATATTTTTTCGTAAGTAATATCATAAGGGCATTTAATTTTTCCGAAAAGAATCGAAAAAACACGTTGCTAAGTGATATTTTAACAAAAAGCATGAGTGCTGGTGGCAACAAAAATCCGAGTCGAAGAGGAGGATTTTTGCACCTGCACGAATGCTTTTTGTTAAAAAATATTACTTAGCATTGTGTTTTTTCGATTTTTTTCACAGGAAAAATTAGATGCCCGAATGGTATTTGACTATTTCATGAGTAACAGTTAACAATTAAAATATAAATTACAATTTTTGGTGACAGCAGCTGTCAAGTTTTGCCGCGGGTAAACTCGAAAAAACTGCTGACAGGTGCTGTCACACAGTTTTTTCACCTAGAAACCATTTGTAATTCAAAATTGCGCGTTTGTGATTGGTGGAAATTAAGACGAGGGAAATAGTCAGACAAATAAATTGATCGCAAATAAAAGTGTAATAAATAAAATATTAATATTAATGCATCTGATTTTTATTTTGACATAATTCCATTGTATCTACTTATCCATTAGTACAGTCATCTTAGTCAAAAAAAGGGATCAACCTCGGAATCTAACGGAATAAGCTGAATTTTTGTGAAAACCTTTATTTTAGCATTACAACTGTTGTCTCAAAAGTCACATATGCCAACGTGTGAGCGACCTTAGATATTCAAGGTCAAAGGTCACAAAAATCAGTTTTTTGATAATATCTCGTTTTGTATGCCTCCTATCGTATTTGCATTTATTATAAAAGTTTTAGAGAATAAAATTCTCTACAAATTTTGTTTAAAAATTTTTTTTATACGTCGAACCGTTTTTGAGATAGAGGGCGCAGAGTGTGGAGCGCTCAGCCATACGTACCTTTAGCGCAAGGTAAATCGGGAATCCCAATCTAATATACCGTTTTTTAATTAATTATATAATAAATATTACTAAAATAAAAATTTAATACCTTATACTTATATTTATATTTCTTTTAAATTAAATATATTTTATCTTCATATATATCTTATATTTTAATTTAATTTTAATGAAGGATAATTGGATCGGAGTAGGAAAAAATTTTTTATTTATATCAATATTATTATTATTATTTATCTTTATCTTCTTCATCCTCGTCTTCTTCAGGTTGGCCAGCAATTTCAGACTCATTATCATCATGATGATGATGATGATGATGAGTGCACTCTCCTCGTTATCATTGACATTAATTGTCATATCTTCAAAAACTTACTTATAACGCGTTTGTACTTTGCTGATTTTTTTGCCTTTGTTGCCTCATCTGCGACTTCACCAAAAAATAAGCACAATATTTTAAAATCAAACACATCATTCCCTTTTTTACGAGGTACAGTTGATGACGTTGAAGGTCCAGTCTCTTCAAGGCGACGCGTCGCGACGTTTTGCTGCTGCAATTTTACTATAGTACGCTATAGCGTACAATTTTCGACACTCAATATGAACGTTCACAGAAGTCAAAATATTTAGGTAGTTTATGTTTATTTCTTTCAATAATTGCTTCTTTTAAAGTCTTTATACCGCGCACAAAAGTCACAGAATCACCTTCAGAAAGTAACTTATTACAAATAAAACACAAATCAGCCATGTTAACCTTTAAAGTATTACGAATATAACCTGTCACAATTCTAGACCTAGGTATACCTAGGGTCACACCTTGCTTTAAATATAGGTATACCTAACCTTTTTATTTATAGCAAGCCCACTATAGTATTTCCAGGTCTGTTATTTTAAAAGCAATATCTGGATCCAAGAGATGACCAGAGACATATTCAAGGCAAATTCATTTAATGTATTTTCTTCTTAAAATGCATTTATTATTAATTAGAATATTATTAGAATATATTTAGAATGATTCAATTCATTATTTAATTATTTGTATGTCAAAAGTAAGTAATATTTAATGACTATTTGTTTTAAAAAAATATATAAAAATAAATATAAGGTAATAAATTGTTATTTAAGTAATATTTAATAAATAATTAATTAAAAAAACGGTATAATAGATTGGGATTCATGATTTACCTTGGGCTAAAGGTACGTATGGCTGAGCGCTCCACACTCTGCGCCCTCTATCTCAAAAACTATTAGACGTATAAAAAAATTTAGTAAACAGAATTTGTAGACAATTTTATTCTCTACAACTTATATAATAAATGCAAATATGATAGGAGGCAGAGAAAAGGAGATATTCTCAAAAAAATGATTTTTGCGACCTTTGACCTTGAATATCTAAGGCCGCTCACACGTTGGCATATGTGACTTTTGAGACAACATTTGCAATGCTAAAATAAAGGTTTGTACAAAAATTCAGCTTATTCCGTTAGATTCCGAGGTGAAATGCCTAGATGACTGGACTACATGGCAATTATAATTATTATAATACTATAGTAAAAATAACGTCAGTTTTAAAATGTCACGTTTTAATTAATGAAAATGTGAAAAATAGTCTTAAAATATTTGAAAATGTTATTCTTTGATTTAATTAGTTTATTCGTGTAATTATCTAAACAAATTACACTCGTGCATAAAAATACTCAGATAATTTTTAAGCACTTGTGTAATTATAATTATCCCCGATAATTATATTGTACCAAATTTGTGTTAATTTATGTACGTTAGGGTGATGCAAAAAAAATGTTTTTTGAATTCTATGCGAGACCACTCGGGTTTTCAAAGAGTATCAAGAAAATAAAAATCTGTAAAAATTTCAGAGAAATCAATTGAAATTTAGAGGTCGCTCAACGCAATTGTTTAATTTAGAAAAATCACGCATCTCAAATGCATTGCTATAAACAAGTAGGCATATTTCATACAAATTTGAATAAAAATGGTTGAATTTTTTTTTGGTGGACTCTTAATGATTATTCTAATAAATAATAATGTCCTGATTTCAAAAAATTGTTCATAATATTTAAAAATGATTATTCTAATAAATAATGTTGTCCCGATTTCAAAAAGTTTTTCATAATATTTAAAAAATATATATTAATTAGCAAATATAGCTTAGTTAACAAATAATTCATTAAATTTTTTTTTTTGTTTCAAAATCTGTAAAAACATTGTTAATAGGTCTACAAGCAATTATTCATTCACAAAAACACTCGCCCCCATCGTTAAATATGAGAAAAAAAATAATATTTTAATTAACTACACTTCGCGTCAAATTTAACGCACCACTAAAAGTTTGTCACATTTTCAAAGTTGATTTTCTCGCGAACCGTCAAACCGAATTTAGTGATTTTTATAATAAATTGTAGGTTTATTCTTCGGTAATAATGCGTTTATTAAAATATTTTTTTAAATTAACATTTTGAGTATATACAGGGTGCAAAAGTGATAATAAGTTTTTTCCCGGAAATTTAAAACGCCCTGTGGATTGTACCAGCTATAACAGCATATGTATCTTATAATCAAACTATAGCCACATCTTCTCTTAACATTTTGTTTTTTGATTCACCGCGTTATCTTTATTTTTAAATGAAATATACAGTTAAAGATTAAAGAACTCCATGGAGTTTAATACAAAAATGTAAAAAGAACGATTGTAACAATAACAACAAAAATATTAACAAAATCAATAAAACCAACATTAAAGAATATCAATATCGCATATTTCTGCCTCTACTTCTAATTACGGCTTCACATCGACGGCTTACACTCGAAACCAGATGTCTAATCTCCTCTTGATCAATGACATTTCATATTTCTCGTAGCATATTTGCTACGTTATCAAGGGAGGCAGGCAAGGAATCATGATTTCTTAGTCGTCTACCCATATTATCCCACAAATGCTCGATGGGGTTGAGATCCGGACTATTTGCAGGCCAGTCTAAAGTTTTAACACCCACCTCATGTAAGTACTCTTGCACTATATAGCATTATCCTGCATCAGTAAAAAATTATTACCGGGCGAAAGGGACAACATGCTCAAATAAAATGTCCTCGATATATCGTACACTAAGTATTCATGGTACCTTAATCTTTAAATGTATATTTCATTTAAAAATAAAGATAACCCGGTGAATAAAAATACAAAATGTTAATAGAACATGGGGCTATAGTTTGATTGTAAGAGACATATGCTGTTATAGCTGGTACAACCAACAGGGCGTTTCAAATTTCTGGAAAAAACTAATTATTACACTTGCACCCTATATATACTCAAAATGTTAATTTAAACAAATATTTTAATAAACGCATTATTACCGAAGAATAAACCTACAATTTATTATAAAAATCACTAAATTCGGTTTGACGGTTATATATGTAATATATATTATGTATATACTCAAAACTTAAATTTAAAAGAATTTTTTAATAAAGGCATCATAACCAAAGAATAAACCTCAATTTTAAAACAAAAATTACCAAATTCGGTTTGAAGGTTCGCGAGAAAATCAACTTTGAAAATGTGACAAACTTTTAGTGGTGCGTTAAATTTAACGCGAAGTGTAGTTAATTAAAATATTTTTTTTTTCTCATATTTAACGATGGGGGCGAGTGTTTTTGTGAATGAATAATTGCTTGTAGACCTATTAACAATGTTTTTACAGATTTTGAAACAAAAAAAAAATTTAATGAATTATTTGTTAACTAAGCTATATTTGCTAATTAATATATATTTTTTAAATATTATGAACAATTTTTTGAAATCAGGACATTATTATTTATTAGAATAATCATTAAGAGTCCAACAAAAAAAAATTCAACCATTTTCATTCAAATTTGTATGAAATATGCCTACTTGTTTATAGCAATGCATTTGAGATGCGTGATTTTTCTAAATTAAACAATTGCGTTGAGCGACCTCTAAATTTTAATTGATTTCTCTCAAATTTTTACAGATTTTTATTTTCTTGATACTCTTTGAAATCCCGAGTGGTCTCGCATAGAATTCAAAAAAAAAATTTTTTTGCATCACCCTAATGTACGTATGTGTTAATTTTGTTGGAGGAAATTGATTAATAAAGCAACATTTTTTATCAAAATTCTTTTTATTTAAGTTACCAATTTCCAACAAATATTTTTGTTACTGGGTCTACAAAAAGGTTTGGAAAATTAAGGTCCTTTTTGAAAATTACAAGAATTATGGTTGAATTATTGACAGGGTTTTGTAATTAAATCTACAAAATTTATTGTTATATGTTATAATTACAAACTACTTATTTAATTAGTTAACAGATTACAGTTGGTAATAAACTTAACATAAAATCTGGTTAAATATTTGGTTAAAATTAACAAATATTTTTGCTGTGTATATTTTAGTTTTACTTTAAATAATATAATTTTAATTGACTTAATAGTAATAAAATCTAAACACTCGCATTTGTTGTTTTGTGATTTTAAATACATAAGTGGTTCAAAAAGTGGCGTAATTTTTCAATAATATTAAGTAGAGATAACTAATTTATAAGTTATAATGGCTTATCTGAAAAGGTTGCAGCTTGCTTTTATGTTATCTTGATGTATTAATTGATATATAAATATAATATAAAGCCAAATTATTCTTAAAACGTAATACTATCTAGTGTTTAATTTTATCGAAACCATAAAGCAATGAAAATATTTGGTGCTCTGGCTATTATGGCCTTTCTGTCCACTGTGAAGGCAGAGAATTTGGAAGAAGGTACAGTTAAAATTTTTAGTTTTTTAATTATACGATAATTAATACGATATATCGAAAATTAATATAAACTTAAGTATTTGTTGGAAATTGGGAACTTAAATGAAAAAAAATTTGATAAGAAATGTTGCTTTATTAATCACTTTAAAAAAAAATTAACACAAAATAACATAGGTACACACAATTCAATAACACACCATTCTGAAATCATCAAATTATAAAGAAATTTGGTACAATATAATTATCAGTACTTCTACAACACTTACTGATGTATTTCGTAACTTTAACCCACTTCACTGTATCCCTTATTTCAGTTTAAAAACCAGTGATGGCATCTTTTTCGGATAATTCGCACTTCGCACACTCGTTAAATAGATATAATAAATTAATAAAATAATCTGTAACCTTTAAAATTAACAAAATGCTTACAAAATTGCATATTTCGGTGAACTATTTTCCTTTGTTAAAATAATTACAAACCCTTGTTTTCAAGAAAAAAATATGTTAAAATTTTTCAAAATAAAATTAACAAACTACAGTTACTAGTTAACTAACATTGTTAGTTCTTTTTGGCAATATTCTCATTCAAAAATACCATTTAAAATTAAATTAAATAAAAAAGTTAGTAAAAATTGTCCCCCAGAAAAGTTAATGATTATTTATAAAAGATATACTTGCAGTATCAACGACGATTTGGCATATTTTTAAGGGAGTAGTAAAAAACAAATATTTATGTATATTTCTAATATATTTTTTAAAATTTAAGCCCCAACATTGGAAGGGAACACAAGTGGGGTTAGTAAGTTTGACCCGATTGCTCTGGCGGTAAATGTAACAATTAATAAAATGGTTTCAAAATTACCAGAACCTATTAACCTATCAACTTTGAGTTATGCTATTGATAACAAATTTATCAAGTAAGTAAAAAGTAAAAATATGTGTTTGTTAAAAATATGGGCGCACATACCCTATAAAACTTTTTTTATTTAAAAGAGTTTTAAAGAGTTACTTTCTATCTCTCTCGCACCGTGTGACGTCATGTGCGAACCAAAAGCTGGCGGGTAACTGGCTTGGAATGTTATTTGCATTGCAAATTCACGTTACCTTCAAAAAATTATAAATATAGGGACGGCCTGGGTGCAATTATTAAGTGTAACAAATGTTAAGAGAAAGTTAAATTGACAGCAAGCGCTTTCAATACTAATGTAACATATTTTAAGCAACAATTAATTTCATACCTTCCTATAATAATTATTATTTTTCAAAATATTTTTTATTTAATTGAATTAACTTAACTTACGCCAGACCGAATTTTACATTTTTTTAAAGTGAAAGGTAACAAAATTATAAAAATACAGGTAATAATAACGCACGCTTACTTTACAGTGTCAAAAGTAAAAAACAAAATCTCAAAGCTGCTTTTTTTACTTGTGACACTTTTAAAGCGGGTTTCCAAAACAATTGTGTTTTAATTTTTATTATTAGTAAAAACTTATGCAAGCTGTAAAAAATATGTGGTTAAGGTGAAAAGTTACTATTAGTACCTAACAGAAAATTGGGTATCAAAAATTGCCTTTACTTACCGTTTTTATTTTTATTTTATACTTTCTCTTGCATGCATTCATCCACTGTGCTGCCAGATTTTTTGGAAATCGAAAATATTTAATGTTAGGTTAGGTTGGGTGTGGGAGTTTCCGTTCATATTTCTGATGTCTGCTACAGTACAGCCCGGCATATTTTAAATAGTTATTAAGTCAAACAAATATAATACAAACTTAATAAATAACCTGGTCTAAAACACCCGTGGCTTTTAAATACCTTGTATACCTATTTATAACTATTTATAAATAGTTATTGCTGTTCAATGAATGCAGTAAAAACTTTACTAATAACCAGTATACCGGTTTTTGTGTATCGTGCTTCCAAAATTTTTGTATTGTTTTAGATTAAAAAAAATATAGCAAGATTATAGTAAGAATATTTATCAAAAAATCTGTACCATAAATCCCGGTCTACAATTGTCGCAGAAAGTATCTTTTACGGCTTACATCTAACGTCAACCAACCACATGTGCTTAATATGTAAATTTTAAGCACTTTGATTAGTTGACGTAAGAAGACGTAAGCCGTAAAGAATTAGTTTGTAGCAAACAATTTTTTATATTGTAAATATATATTATATTATATTAATTATTCCAATGTTTTTATATTTTTAGGGGAAATGTTTCGGTGGAGAGTATATCAATAGCTGGATTAAAAAAGTTGATAGCAACTGCTATCAAGGTAAAAGTAATACCAATAAATGCTGATTTGACATTCTCTTTGCCAAGTTTAAACTTGGTCGCAACGAATTACAATATTGATTTGACAATTTTAAACAAAATTCCATTGTCCTTTAAGGGAAACATGGGGTTTGTATATTATAGAATATCTCTATTTATACAATACAAAATGATAAATTTTTTTAGATTTTCCGTTGATGCATTGGAATTCTTAGTTATTGCTGATGTTTTTTTAAACAAGACAATACATGACTTGCAAATTTGCATGAATATGAATGATTTTAAAGTAAGTATTAAGATTTTTGTATACCTCATAAAACAAAGTCACCTTTAGTTGGTAGTTAAACTTACAATAATTAGTTAGAATTAATTGTTTACCTAACGGGCAAAAATCTAGAATATCATTTTTGGTAATGAATTAAATTTTCTAAACCTTTAACTTTCCCCCTAATACTTCAAATTACACTTTTACAGCTAAATTAAATGAGTGCCTATATAGAAAAGTTTATAAACGAGTTGCATACTATACTTTTTCTACGACAAATACTTAATATTATCTAAAAAATAATTTAAATTAAATATTTGTGTAAAGCGACATCTATACGAAAATAAAGTAACCATCCTAATAAAGATTTTTGACGTTATTTTCACCATTAAAATTGCCCGTTATTATTTTAATTAAACTTAACAATTAATATTAATTCTTTAAAATATTAAAATAACTTCGTGTCAAATTTAACGCACCACCAAAAATTTGCCACAATTTTAAAGTTGATTTTCTCGCGAACCGTCAAACCGAATTCGGTAGTTTTTGTTTTAAATTGTACTACAATCATAACCAAAAAATAAACCTACAACTATTGTAGGTTTATTTTTTGGTTATGATGCCTTTATTAAAATATTTTTTCAAATTTACGTTTTGAGTATATACAGGGTGCAAGTTTTTTCCTGTAAATTTGAAACGCCAGCTATAACAGCATATGTCTCTTATAATCAAACTATAGCCCCCCTTCTCTTAACATTTTGTTATTTAATTCACCGCGTTATCTTTATTTTTAAAAGAAATATACAGTTAAATATTAAAGAACTCCAGTAAATGTAAAAAGAACGATTGTAACAATAACAATAAAAATATGAAGAAAATCAATCAAACCAACATTAAAGAATATCAATATCTTGTATTATCGCCTGTATACAGGCGAAGTATACTTCTAATTACGACTTCACATCGACGGCTCATACTCGAAACCAGATTTCCAATCTCCCCTTGATCAATTACATTCCATATTTCTCGTAGCATATTTGCTACGTCAAGGGAGGTAGGCAAGGGATCATGATTTCTTAGTCGTCTACCCATATTACTCCAAAAATGCTGAATGGTGTTGAGATCCGGACTATTTGCAGGCCAGTCTAAAGTTTCAACACCACTCTTGCACTATATGGGCGGTGTGAGGTCTTGCGTTATCCTGCATCAGTAAAAAATTATTACCGATGTACGGGGCGAAAGGGACAACATGTTCAGATAAAATGTCCTCGATATATCGTATACTATGCATGGTACCTCCACGAACAATGACGAGTTCTGTGCGAGCTGTCAAGGAAATTCCTCCCCAAACTATTACAAAACCTCCATTAAATAGAGTGGTTTCACGAATGTTAAACTGTGAAAATCTGTCATTTGGACGTCGGAGAACCCTTACTCGCCGATTTGAGCTGAATAAACAAAACCTGGGCTCGTCTGTAAATAGTACACTCTGCCAATCCTCAATATTCCAGCCAACATGTTGTCTGGCAAATTGCAGTCTTGCTCTACGATGATTTGAACTTTGGTCCTGTTTCTGAAATTCTGAAAGTAAAATTCTGTTCCGCAAGACGTCTTCTTACGGTGGACACACTTGTAGCATTAAGTTGTACCTGTAGATTTCTTGCTGTTACAAATCGTTCTCTCAAAGCATGCAAATAAAATAAATTTCCGAGCTATGGCACGGTAGCTTAATCCTTGCTAGGCCAATGTAATAATACGATACAAATTTCTTACTTGGCGCTCCATTACAATAACTTTATGCAGACAACTTAAATGAAAATGACTTTCTGACATTTGCACACAATTATTTATTTTCCATAACCTACCTATGTTAAGTTCTTTAATTTTACATTAACCGTATTATTAACCGTATATCTCATTTAAAAAAATAAATAGCGACGTAAATCAAAAAACAAAATGTTAAGAAAATATTGGGCTATAGTTTAATTATTTGAGTCATATGCTATTAAAGCTGGTACAACACACAGGGCGTTTCAAATTTCCTGAAAAAACTTATTATAACTCGTGCACCCTGTATATACTCAAAATGTAAATTTAAAAAAACATTTCAATAAACGCATTATTACCGAAGAATAACCCTACAATTTAATAAAAAAATCACCAAATTCAGTTTGACGGTTCGCGAGAAAATCAACTTTGAAATTGTGGCAAATTTTTAGTTGTGCGTTAAATTTGACGCGAAATGTATGATTTTTTTATTACTAAAATTGCAAAATATTATCACAAAGTATTAAAAAGTCTTATACGGAAAATGTTAAAGGTACACCGGTCTACCGTCGTTCAAATCTGAAATTTACTGTGTAAATCAAAATTTATCCCTTAAAAATAGACTAACAATCGATATAGAAGCAGTTTTTCACAGTTTAAGAAAAGAAAATGTTTATTGGGCAATGTACAGTTGTATTCAATAAAAAAGCGTACAAGAATTAGGAGAGAAAACTGTCAAAATAATATTATTGCTTAAAACCGGCTTATCACTGACATAAGTCATTAAAATAATTACTATAGGTTATAAAGAGCATTGACGTCGTAGGTTAATTAAATAATATTACAAAAATTATTACCTTTTAATAATGAAAAAAACAAACATTAAAAAAAAATTAATATTTAGTCATGCATCCCTGTTTTTCAATTACTTGAGCCAATCTATTTGGGATGAACTGAATTAAATTTAATACAATATTTGGATTAATATCTTCCCAGCAGTATAGTAGGTATAGTATAGTTGCATAGTTTCCCATAAATCCTCAGATATCCCAAAAAAGCAGCATCCTGTTCAGGGGTGGACATTTTGGGACGACCTGAACCAACTTTTTGGTTTAGTAAATCTTCCTGTTCCCAGCGTTGCTTAATTTTTAATATAGATTTTTTATTTCTTTTAAACCACAGTACGAATTGATCATTCTTCTTCGATTCTTGATACTATTTGAGCCTTTTTAACTGAAGAGGCATTTTTATTTTCTACTGTCAGTTATAGTGACTTAAGTCAGTGGAAAGCCGGTTTTACGCAATAATGTTGACAGTTTTCTCTCATTCTAATTCTTGTACGCTTTTTTAATGAATACAACTGTACGCAAAATTTTTAACGCCTTATCAGTTAAATCTAGTTACTGCACTCAGTGGCGGACTAAGGGGGGACGGCGGGGGCGGTCCGCCCCGGGCCCCCGGTTCAGAAGGACCCCCAAATCTTAAGTAGTCTTTCTCACTCCAACAAAAAACTATCTAAAATTTAGGGTTTTAAAATTTCCGGAAAAATTGAGCCGGCGGAAAAAAAAAACAGGTTTTTTCAGGAAAGAAATTGAGAAATTTTCAGAAAGATTAATTTGCATTTTTCTCATTTTATTCAAAGAGTAATACGAAACAATGCAAAAAAAAATAATTAAGGCCTGACTTTAAATCCCCAGGACCCAGCTTTATCATAAAATATAAAATGATTAAAAAAAATACCCCGGAGATTTCAAGTTTATAAAGAATAACATGCTATGAAAAAAAAACAAAATATAAAGTCAAAACTAAAAAAGATTTTTAATATTTTGGTCTCGGGAGCCCCTAGCTGCAATCCATCAGGAATTAGAAAAAAGGTTATAATTCAATTTAATTCTTTATTTTTCTATTTTTCATATCCCTGATTACATTAAGGCCCGTTATTTCCATTGCGAGTTAAGTGCGAGTTACATCTAAACTTAAAGTTAAATTTGAAAATCTATATTTCAATATCTGGATTAGTCTAATTTGTGAGTTAACTCGCGTTTCAATTAACTCGAAGCTCAGGTACAAGTTAAGCTGGAAATTGTGAATTAACTTAAATTGTTAATTAACTAAATGTTGATTTAATAGGAACACAGCTAATCAAATATTTTAATTCTAAATAAAGACATAAAAATAGTAACGACAAACAATAATAAATGATCTAACAATAATTAATTTTTCTTCATTAATATCTCCATCTTTTTTGTAAAATTTTTATTTTTAATTCATGTTCTTCTGTTAACTTTTCCCTATGAAACCCAAGAAAACTTAGTTTTTCTTGAGTTAATTGTTCGAAAAGTAGTTATTTAAATGCTTGTCCTTGTCTTCTTTTCCCTGTTCTATTAATTTACCTACTGTTAACTGGTTCTTTCAACATTTTGGGGGTGTATTCTGTCCAGTTGTTGGCTTCTCCTGCCCTCCCATCTGTGTTGACCATCCCATCGCTATCGACAAATTAGTGAGTTCATTTTCCATGTTCTTCATGAGGACTGACTCATCTTGATCGCAATCGAAAAGGAAAGTTAAACCATATATTTGATCACCTAATATTTCTTCCAATGTTTTGTCTATTTCGTCCGTATCTTAAATTTTACCGGACATCCCCCAGTTTGTCTTATACTGTTCCTGTTTGACATTATTTTGACTTTCGATGTTTTTTATACTTATTTATTAGGCCTTTTTATCTCGTAATACTCGAACAGGGCTCGTGCTTATCGTTCAAAACCAGATTAAGCAGCAACTGATCTTCTGTTTTACTAAAATTGGTTGGTCTCGATCTGGACTCTTTTTTCTCAATCTCACTCATTTTAGCTAATAATACTTTACCCAAACATTCAAACTATCTAATCCAACCCAATAAACAACGCACTGCGTAGATACCTTTAAAAACTCACTCTATCAGACCGTCTATAGATGGTTTTAAAAATTTAAAATAAAATCCATGTAATATATTATTATTATTATTATTATTATTATTATTATTATTATTATTATTATTAATAGAATCACGGACCCAACATAAAGATAAACTTCTTAATTTAGAGTTACTAAACTCGGGTAGCAAAATCTTTGGAAAAATCCATAAAAACATAACTTCAAGTTAACTTCGAATTTAAGTTAATCCTAGGTTTACTAACACGAAAGTTTACTCGCATTGGAAATAACGGGCCTAAGAGTTTTGCAAAAGACTTGCTAAGAGGATCTACTAACAAATTTAAAATAACAGAACATTATTATTTACAAAACAATCACATTATTTCATAAGCAGACTAGGGGCCCCATTTTATTTTACCGCCCCGGGCCCCCGTCGGTTTTAGTCCGCCACTGACTGCACTACTACGGCGAAATCTTTTCAAATATTGGCGTCAAAAAACTTTTTAATATTTTTGTATTTTTGCATTGAGATAATAAAATAATTTTCACATTTAGAATTATGTATTTTACAAGAAAGGCACTTTATTTTAACGATTGTATGACATTTGACAACTGTCAACTAACTTCAGCCCGTGACTAAAACCTTGTTGCTAACTTCAGCCCGTGACTAAAGCGCCATAAAGCCACAACTTGTCAATGTGTATTTAAAAGGTCACTTAGTGTTATGGAAACATGTACTATAATAGGCGTTTTAAAGGTTGGAATAAAAAAAATATATTACTTCAACCAAACAATTAAAAACATGTTTTTTTAGTTCGACATAACCGGTCTTTACAACGAGGCTTTGAGCAACTTTGTTAGCAAAACTCTTACCGAAACAATAGCTCCATTTGCAAATGAATATGCAGCCCTAATTACCGAAGTTATCAGCCCCATATTGAAGAGCATCATCAATAGTAACACAAAAACCATCCTGGTTAATTTTGAAGGCACAGATATACTCAACACAGAATATGATGTTTAAATTTGAATAAAATAAATTATTTTTTGTTTTATTGTAATTGTACCTATAAATTATTAATTATATAAATTTTTGGTGTTTTTTTAAGACCTTAAAGCTATTATCGTATCCATGATTAATTATAATTTTTAAGGGGGCTGTGTTTAAACCCCGTTAATGTTTTTTGTAGTTTCTACCTATGTACAATCCTCCATTAAAAAATACCCACTTTGACATTTGAAAACGTTTAACGCGTCAGATTTTCTGAAAATAATACAATATAATGGGTATTAATATAAAATTTAAAAATAATAATTTAAAATTTAAAAACACCGCTCGGGCCATTTTAATGCAATAATCCATATCGATTGGGTGCGAAATACGTATACAGAATGTTTAAATCCGCACGGAATACCAAGGTAAAATTGTGGTAGTTTCGACATATCGAATTTATTTCTTTTTTATATTTAGCTTAAAATAAATTATAGGTTTTTTTAAAAATGGCGAATGCGCCGGTGTTAATATTTCCAACTAGTTTTTATTTGTTTAATAAACTAAATATATTATATAAACTTAAAATTTTGTTTTAAGAGGAAGAATTAGTTATTATATTATAATGCTTGAAATGGAACTTCCACCTAGAATTTTTTTATTTTAAATTTGGCAAATTGAAATTGAAATTTATGCATGAAATAAAAAGTTTATAAATAATTTTTATAGTTGCATTATGAAACTTGCATTTGAAATTTCCCTAAAGATCTCCATTATGTCACGTTGTGACGTCATAACCTCTTGGCCGCAAAAGCGATTTTAAAATTCGAATGAATTAAAAATAAGTACACTTGTACATAATATAAGTGTTGTTTGCAGGGCCGGATCAACACCATTTTTAGGGGGGCAAAATGCATAACCAGAATTAAAGGTTAACATAATTATAATTATTATTAATTTTAATTTACTATAGTATAAAACTTTCTCAAAACTTGCTTATAGTTATATCTTTATTATTCATTTTACGACAAAAAGTCATTCTTTATAAAAAGTTTAGCTTGCTAAGAAAATTAATTTACAATAGGTATATAAATATGGAGATCAGATGTACAGGATGTTAATAAATTACGAAAACGTTAAAAGGCTTTAGGGGAGAAGTACCACTATTTATTATTTTTAATAAAAATTGTATAAAACAAAGTTGTTTATGAACTAACACAAAGTATAAATACAAATTTTTAAATAAAAATATTTAAAATATGGTTAAGTTTATGATTAGTTTGGCTATCCTAGGCAGGCTCCCTAGATCCAGGTCTGGTTGTTTGTGTTGTTTTTAAAGTGGCATTCTTTGCATATCTGAAAAAAGTACTTGGATTAAATGATTTTAATCTTATCTTAAAAGGTTGCTCTTCTTTATGTAATATTGATTAATTATATTTAAATACAATCTAGGTATATATAAAAATGTATAGTCAATTTTTTGCGATATTAGTAATTAACTTTACACTTTTTAGCAATGAATATATTCGTTGTTTTGGCTGTCGCGGCCTTTTTGGCCAGTGTGGAGGGAACACAATTAGAAGAAGGTATTTATTTAAATTGTATATTATACACCCAGGTTGAAATTTAAATTATAATCCCTGGGTTTATAAACTATTTTGCTAATAGAATTGAATTGTAAATTGTATCTATTAAATTGGCATTTTTAAGGCTATTAATTTTAACAAAATATTTTAACATTTAAGACCCCAAATTGGGAGGAATTATAGATTGGGGAGTGAATGCGACAATTAATGTTATTGTAGAAGAATTGGACGAAATATTCGATTTAAATGAATTTAATATTCCTATAAAAAACCCATATATTAAGTAAGTACCTATAATGTACAACTACAGTACAAGTATTTGTTTGATATTTTTTTTCTGGTGTCATTGATTAAATTTTTGGACATATGGCAACGCTGTATGTCTGGAATTGTAAATCCCTTAATAAATTGTACTTTTATGTAAATTATCTTTAAAATTATTATTATATAAATGTTAATAAATGGTACAAACATTACTACTAAAGTCAATGGCTACCTCACCAAATTTAAACCAAATAAAATCTTTAAAATTTAATATGTACAAAAAATTAAAATCACAATTTCTTAATTTTTACGATATCTCAAAAACCTAAAGTAATAAGTCAAATAACCAACTATGTATATCTCTAAAGGTACAGTTGTATTCATTAAAAAAGCGTACAAGAATTAGAGTGAGAGAAAATGTCAACATTATTGCGTAAAACCGGCTTTCCACTGACTTAAGTCACTCTAACTGACAGTAGAAAATAAAAATGCCTCGTCAGTTAAAAAGGCTCAAATAGTATCAAGAATCGAAGAAGAATGGTCAATTCGTACCGTGGTATAATAGAAATAAAAAATCTATATTAAAAATTAATAATTTTTGTAATATTATTTAATTAACCTACGACGTCAATGCTCTTTATAACCTATAGTAATTATTTTAATGACTTATGTCAGTGATAAGCCGGTTTTAAGCAATAATATTATTTTGACAGTTTTCTCTCATTCTAATTCTTGTACGCTTTTTTATTGAATACAACTGTATCTCTAAAGACAAACAAGGTATTCATGCTTTGCCTTGAAACAAAAATTTTAGAATATCCAATTTTTTCTTCATTCTGCAGCCTTGGTGGGGGGCCACCATGAGTTTCATAACCAATTTTTCATTTTTAGAGGAAATATTTCAGTGGATCATGTCGAGATTATTGGAATAAAAAAAATGGTAGCGACAGCTATACGTTTAAAGGTCCTTCCCCATATTAATGCAGATTTAACATTTTCTTTACCAAACTTAACTGTTGCCATATATAACTATTCTGTGGACTTGAAGCTTTTCAATATTGTACCATTGGTCCTAAAAGGAAACATAAGGTTAGTAAATTTTAAAACACCTATGATAGGTGTATTAATAAAAAATAATATTTTTATTTTTAGTTTTTCCTTTAATGAGTTTGATTTCTTAGTTATTGCTGGCGTTAAGAAAATGGCGATAGATGATTTACAATTTTGCATGAACATGAAGGATTCTCAAGTAAGTATAAACTTGTTTTCAGACCTTTTATTGTTTATGTATCGTTTAATAAATAAAATTGTGCCTTGACGATAAAACATCGCATGCCATTCGGCTGAGGTGTCTTTTTAAAAACTCAATTCTCTGCCTTTTGAAATAAATTTACCTATTAATATAACTATTAAGCAAGAACTCTGTAGACTTAAAATAACAGTAGGCCGTGATAGCAAATTCAGCGGTGACAATAAAGTAAAAATAAAACGTTTTATTTTAATTAACAAATTACTACTTTATTACAAATTTGTCATTTCAAGCGGATGGACGGGAAAAATCACAAAACTGTTTTTATAAAAAAAATTGTAGGTAGGTAATTTATTACAAATTATTTTTGCATCAAAATTGTCAAATATATTCTTCTATTATTAGGCTATACATTAAATAAAACAAATCGCAAGAAATATTTTATAAAAGTAGAGTAATTTCAATAATTGACAGGGGTGGACGAGACCACACCTTTCAATTATTAAAATTATATCTACTTTCATAAAATATTTTTTGCGTTTTTTTTTATTTAATGTATAACCTAATAAAAGAAGAATATTTTGGACAATTTTGATGCCAAAATATTATATAATAAATAATCTACAATTTTTTTTATAAAAACAGTTTTGTAATTCGTGCGTTTCCCGCGCTTGAAATGGCCGGAATCATAGTACAATTAAAAACTAAAAACAACATAAAAAGAAAATAATTATACTTAAGTAATAATATAAATTGTTAATTTGTTGTTGTAATGGCAAAATTAAGTTGGCAGCACGAAATTTAAAATGACAATTATAAAAAGAAGAAAAAAATCGTTTTTTGAGATTTCCATAAAAAATTTACTGTAATAATCAATTTCTAAACCATTAACGTGATTTTCTTTGGTTGCTATAGGTATAAAGTTAAAAATTTGTTTTTATTTTAGTTCCACATAACTGGTCTTTACAACAAAGCTTTGAGCCAATATGTGAGCAAAACTCTTACAGAAACAATAGCTCCATTTGTGAATAATTTTGCTGCCAGAATAACCGAATTTGTGAGCCCCTTATTGAAAAACGTCATAAATAGTGACCGAAAAACTTTAGAAACGATCCTGAGTAATTTTGAAGGCATCAACGAATTAAATTAATACCTATCTAAATTTTATTATTTGTTGTTGCATTAATAAATTTATTTTATGAGGTAGGAGTTATTATTAGTTGATATACTTAATGTAACAGGTATGTGGGTTTATCCTTCTATAATAGAATTTTCATTCCTTGTCAGAAATGTTCAACAAGTTAATCCTAGGTAGCATTTACCTTAATTAACTTTTAACACTGGAACTTTTGAATCAAACAGTGTTGCAACATAGAGCACTACACAAAGTTTTTCTAACAAAATGAACTTAACTCAACTATGTTTAGCAAAAATTAATAACAATGTTAATGCATATCATTCGTTGTTTCATTTGAAAACGTTTATATTTACCAGTCATTCATTTAATAACATAGTTTTCCTGCGTTCCGCGACATGTCGCACAACTTGGCAACGCCTATAAAACGACTTCGCCCGATTGAAAACGAATCGTCCAGGTGATTTGCCGCCGGCAAATTGCCGGCAATATTTATTTCACGTGCGTTTGGCTTGCTGAGTGGTTATCAGTCAAAAACTGCATCAAATCACGAACTATTGTGGTTTTCAAGTAATGTCAGTGGAATATACGGCCGCGTTTTTGTTTATTAGTGACGATAATTACAAGAACATGTCGTGAAATCTCATTAGCAGTGTCGTGCGTATTTTTTTGACTTTGTGTTTTTTTTAACCGGTATAATATGGCAAACAAACACGCGATTGTTTTTGCGCTTAGCGCCTTTTTGATTTTAAATTCGGCAATTGCCATACAAGACTTTTGTTCACAAGATAATTTTAATACTAGTGGAACGCATTTACAATTAACTAGGGAAGCTAGTTCCGAGGAATTTGGTGTTATTGGACAGTTCAAATCGTTACATTGCTGTGCGAAAGGATATAGATCTATTGAATGGTAAGAAAATGTTTTATTTAATTACCTATAAAAATGATTAATATGCGTCATTGATGGATGGCCACAGACTTCTTGATTGCAATCACAGATTGCAATACTATTTGTCTGTCAAAAATTTTAAACCAATAGGATCATGTTTACTGCCAAGGCAACATTTAAAAAATAAAATGTTTTAATTAATATAATAAAGTTGATCTTTATTCAACTATTTGTTTTAAAACACTTGTTGAATGAGAAATCTTATAAACGCATAATTTGTACGTCAAAATGATGTACAAAATTTTATAACCCTCTATCATTAAAGTAGGCCACCTTTCATCATACGATTATCTAAAACCAATACTCTGTAATTTTTGTAATTTATTTACTTCGAGGGTTTAAGCTTTACCCAGTAATTATTGAAAGCGGTAGTGTAAACTTTGTGTTGTGATCGAATTAAGGTTTTTTGGGGGCAGAACGATTGTAATTTATGATTTTATCGAGAGGTATTTATTTATACCTTGTTTTTAATTTGTATTTAAAAATCGTTATAGGTACCTACAACACGATTTTTATAATAACCAAAATAGTGAGAATAATATGTAAGAATATTGTTTAATTGTAAAATCGTTTGTGATTACAAACATTTAGGTAATTACAGTGTAATCTTGGATAATCTCATGAGTTTCCCTGACATTGAAGAAGAGTTTTATGTTTATCCATGGTTTTATTTTACTAGTCATAATAAACATTTGCATGGTTTGGAAAATCTGATGACGCCATTATAATTATAGCTTTCCTGACATTAAAATGGTTCTGAAAATTTTAAAATTAAATGATGGCAGTGTGTGGCAAACAATGCATTTATAAAAAGTTACACATGTTATTTGGTCTGTTATTTGTAAACGGCCAAAACGTTTTGCGGTCAAAATTAATTGGCGGATCGCAGACTGAATTCCTTCTTTTCCGAACCCCGATGTCCGAGAATTGACTCACTCGTGATTTCATCGAAATATTATTCGCAATTTATGGGTTCGGTGCATAATTTTTGACGTTATAAATCACCGGCAGGTAATAATTTGTCGAATTCCCGGTATTTTAGAAAATAAATTTACAAGCTGATTTTAAAAATAATCTCTCTGTAGGTAAATATTTATAAATATTTAATGAATTAAATTTGAAGAATTTAAAACATAAAACCAATTTCATGTTCCAACATAACGAGTGGCATTTAAAAAACAATTGTATTTGTTCAATTATTGCTAACCGCGATTATTCCCAGAAATCCCCCATAATTGACGTGTGTGTGTATGATTTACAATTAATTCGTCACCGCGTCGAATCGGCAACGTCGCGCCGTTCTATTGTTTTTTCGCCGACACTGCGATGTGTTTTGTTTTTATTATTATGGTGTTCGGCGCGCCGGCTTCGTTTACTACGAATTTTTACCAGACCACACACGCCAAAAAAGTTGATTAATTGTTTTGTTAGATTTACCAAATAAAATTTGTTAATTGAGTTGGTTTTAAAACTTGCATGATAATTCTCGCTAACTGAAAATGAATTGCAATGACAAACCGTTGAAGACGTATGAAAAACAATGTGATAAAAAAGATAAGAAAATACGCAGAAAATGTTAAAGACAAACAAGAAAATTCTTGGAAAATAATAAAATCAGTACCTTCAACGGAAAACCACAGAAATATAATAACACGATTATTGGAGGAAAGTCGCCTAATTTCAGATACCTTTTCAAAAGAATCAAAGATTTAGATAAAATAATTTTTTAATGCTTTAGGTATCTATTGGCTAGTATACAATTCATTGCAAAGAAAAAAAATTTGATATCAAACATTTTTATTACAAAAATGAGGTTTTTGTTGTAATTGCAACTTTTGCAAATTTAAAATTGGGCTCCCAATTTCGGAAACCCTATCCAAAATTATAAAAAACTTTTTTTAGTAACAACATATTTATTAATCCATGCATAAGTGACATAATATGTCACTATTATATTCCTTATTGCCTATAGGCGACTCTATGATAGAATTTGTTTAGTTCATACTTTTGGATTCCTAATTTCGGATTGAGAAACGTGAACCATCCGAAATTGAGCAACTTTATATTTGTTGAAAATTGGGAACTTAAATAAAAAGAATTTTGATAAGAAATGTTGCTTTATTAATCAATTTCATTAACAAAAAAATTAACACATACCTACATAAATGAACAGAAAAATAACATACACACAATTAAATAACACACCATTCTGAAATCATCAAGTTATACAGAATTTTTTTACAATATAATTATCAGTACTAGGTACCTACTACAAAACTTACTGATGTATTAAACATTAACAAAATAATCTGTTACCTTTGAAATTAACAAAATAGTCTTACAAAATTAAAATAACACCCCGTATAGTAATATTAATTATAAAACGTATTTAAATGATTATTTTACTTGTTAGAGGAGAACAGGTATTGTGCATCGTTCATTCATGAGATTTTACACTATCTCTGGGTGTACGGGTTTGAATAAACGGGCCGTAACCATAAATTCGCGTCGCGTATCTCTTGACAACAGCGTTCCACGGCCGATATGATGCCTGCAGCTCGTTAGGGCTGCGCGTTTAGCCGTCGGAGACATAAAAACTACCGGAGGTTGCTCGATGGCATTCTGCATTCGTTGTTAACGACCTGTAGAAATGCGACGCGAACAAGAAAAAAACGAACAAACGGAGAAAAAGAGAACAAAAGATGCGGACCTACGCGCGGTCCCATTTACATTTCGTTCGAACATCTAAATTTTACATCTATGGTACCTTTGACAAAGGCGTGCCATCCAGTTCTTATGAGTACCTATGTTTTTAGTTTTTTTTTGAGGATTTATACAGAAGAAGAAATTATATTTATTATAACTCAATATTTCTATACAAATATTTATACTAAATAGTTTTGTGTTTTAAAAATGCACCTATCCTAAATTACATAAAAAATAAACTCACAAACTCCCAAATTAAATTTCCCATAAATTAAATTAAAATCCGATCGATCATAACAAATGGTTATTTTAGCGCGCCACTGAGATCGGCTTTTTCGCCTCTTGACAAAAGAACCCGTGTAGACATAACCTACTGGATGTTATCTCGCGACGAATAACAAGTTGGGACCGGTCCATTAATGAAGCGCCATCGCTTGTGGTCTAAAATCTAATTTATATATAGGTATATAATTATAATTATATTGTACAAAATTTCTTTATAATTTGATGATTTCAGAATGGTGTGTTATTTAATCGTGTGTATGTTATTTTTGTGTTCATTTATGTAGGCATGTGTTAATTTTTTTTGTTTAGGAAATAGATTAATAAACCAACATTTCTCATCAAAATTCTTTTCATTTAAGTTCCCAATTTCCTATAGGAAATACTTTTGTTACTGTGTCTACAAAAAGGTTTGTAAAAATAAGGTTCTTTTTGAAAATTACAAGAATTATGGTTAAATTATTGATATAGGATTTTGTTATCAAATGTACAAAATGTTTGTTATAATAATTATTACAAACTATTATTATTATTAGTATTAGTTTAAGTTTTTTAATGTTTTATTCGGTTTTATTTATACCTATATTTACGAATTTCAGTAATATTTGGCACAAATCTGTAAGATTCTACGAATCATATTTTAAATTATTTATGTGTAGATGGTTTATTTTTGCCGCGAAATTCCTAAAAATATCTCCACAAATTTGTAAACAATTTCTTAAAAAAATACAATTAAACTTGAAAAAAACATTATATTTATGCCAAACTTAAAAATAATGTTAAAACCAATTAAATTATATTTTATATAATTTGAGATTCATTAAAAATGTTTTTATCAAGAACAGAAGAAAGGCGTGCTTTAAGCCAAGATTAGATCTGCAGATGTTAGTTTAATCAAAACTTGCGAAATTTCACGGAACTAAACGTTTGCATATTTTTTTCACTACATATAAACAATTGCCGCAGATGTTCTCAATTTATATTAACGAATTTCGTTTGAAAATTAGTATTTTTTTTTTAGAATTTTACTTTTATTAAGTTTTATACCATTAATAGTATACTATAGGCATACGCAGTAAAAAAATATTTGTTAATTTTAACCTAATATTAACCAGATAGGTATTATGTTAATCCAGGTCTAATAACTTTATCTGTTAACTAATTACATTTAACAAAGTCATATAACAATAATTCAACCATAATTCTTATAATTTTCAAAAAGGACCTTATTTTTACAAACTTTTTTGTAGACTTCGCACTTTGCACACTCGTTAAATAGGTATAAGGAATCCGAATTACAATAATAATAGATTTCTGGATAGTTGTTACGATTTAGAATAAAGTAAGCTGAAACATAAGTTGCAGACGCTGAAGTCAGTTGAACTTGTTGATGCGTATTGTCAGTGGAATATAATATATTTAAAATATTATTTTGATTGACTGTCTGAAATTACGTGTATTTTTTCAACGAAATAATTTGTTAAACATTAACAAAATAATCTGTAACCTTTGAAATTAACAAAATGGTTACAAAATAATATTGCATATTACCTTTACAAAACTTTCCGTAATATATTTTCCTTTGTTAAAATAATTACAAACCCTGGTTTTCTACAAAAAATTATGTTAAAATTTTACAAAATAAAATTAACAATCTACAAACTCATGTTAACAAATCTGATTTTTACTATGCACGTGTTATATCTGAAGACCTAAATTTGTATTCAAAGCAATTTTAACTTTTATAGCGTCATAAAATTTACAAGATTTCGGAAAAAATCGAACTAAACCGATTTATTGTTACAACTTTACTACCTTGGTCATTAAACCGTCTACCTCCATCTCAAAGTCAAAGACCGACAAAATAATTAACCCAAACCAATTATAATTTGTCTATTAATCGAGTGATTTTTTCAACACCTTGTATAGGTACACGTTTTATCCCTACAAAGGATCTCATTATTCTGCATATC